TAAGGCCTGCAAGTGGGATTTGGTGATGAATATGGTGGAAAGAGGAGCAAGTATTGCTGATCTAACAACGGAAGAAAAAAGGAAACTTTTGCGCGAAGTAATAGGAAAGACTGAATTCCAAGAAACAGACACTCAGCAATCATTCTACCGGGTTATTCGTCTCGGAAATGTGGAGCTACTTGGGTTATTAATCGAAGAAATGAGACTGAACGATATTTCCAAAGCACATGACCTGGATCTCTTGTTATCGAAGTCCTACGACGAGTTAAAGCTGAAAAACGTTCCTGTGACTCCTAACATGCAGTTTTTCATTGAAAACAAACTGATTCTGTTACGTTTTTTTGAGGAAAAAAGTTCACAGAAAAATGAATTTTCTCTAGAACACACAAAATATATTATTACCATTGTTTGCAATTATGTCTGTGAGCTAAACGACTATTATTCAAATGATCAAGAATCAAAAATAGATGGAATGTTTATTCACACGTCAATTGAACTTGCAAAATATATTCACTTCCTGAAAAGGTACTTGAAGGGTTCTTACATGACATTGCCATGGGAAGAAATAGAATTTTGCTTGCTAAGCTTCGTGTCAATAGTACGCGGTCTTCAAACTACAGATGAAATCTGGAAACTAATTTTAGACAAAAACACAATTTTAAGTCATCTTGTAGTTTTTTCAGAGAAGTTGGAGGAATTGAAAAACAATCTAGAAATGAAGGACATCACCGGGAAGGGGAAACTGCCTGCGAGAAATCATATTATTGAAAATATTATTGGTGCCGACCCCAGGTTCAAAGATTTGTATGATGATTATAACGTTCTGAGAAACATTTATTCTTTAAATAAAATTGATTCGTACATAAAAATCTCTATATCAATAGATTTGGATGAAAACCGAGAATTGGGGCAGTTAGTGATTGAAAGAACTCTGCAAGTATTGGGCGAGCTATTGAAGAATACAGCAGAATCGCCTAATGTTACTGATGATGTGTACACTCGATTGTTGGATACCGCTCCGAGACAGTTGAAAGACATTGTTACAACTCTTCGAGATTCATTGTCTCATGCTGATGCGCTGACAAAAAAAGTTGCTCTTGAAGATGGTAAAGACGTCGAGTTCTTCAAAAATGTTCAAAACGATCTAAAAAAAATCGGTTTAGAAACTACCGAGATTTTACAGAGAAAAAAAATTTACGCGCTTAAAGATTTTTTAAGAAATATTATTAACTGCAAAGCAGAAAAACTTGAAAGCTTCGCTAAAAGAATGGATAATTTAGGCGTGGAAAAAATGAATTACGAACAACTTTATTCCAAAGAGATGTATATACTTAAAGGATTGGTTCACGAATTTCAGTCAAAGGCAAGTGAGATTTCTTCTGAGCATAAAGAGTTGTTAGAAAAAATGAATACTGTTGTTGAAAAACAAACAAACAAATTAGTGAAACTATGTAAAGAGTATCGACAAGCCATGAAAACAGCTTTAATATTTGTACCCCGCTCCTTCAGTGTAAGAACTGTTAGAAACTTTGCAACAGTGTTTTTGCAAAAGATTAATATAGAAGAAAATAGCTTAAAGGAGCTTCTACCTTTGATGAGAGATTTTTCCAGATACCTTCCGGAAAACGAATTATCTAACAATATATCTGATACATTTTACAAAATATTTAGCGTAATTGAGTACGAGGCTAGTCGAATCCGAGGAATTGATGAAATTAAAGGTCATTTGAGCAAAGAGAAAGAATTTGAAAGTAATGACATAGAGGAGAGACTAAAGGAAACTTTTAATAAAATTGAATACAAGTTGACTTCTGATAAAGTCAAGCGAAAGTTTAGGGAAGAATTGATATCCAAAATAAACATACACAAATCCAAAGCAAAATTAATACATTATTTTCAAAATGCCAGTGAAAAAATGGAGGAAAGCATCTTCACAGAATTAAGTGATAATCTAAAATTGAAGCCGAGATTTAAGAAAGATTTGAAGGAATCATACGACAAAGGAGATTTTAAAACATGTCTGTCATTAACAAAAAAGATTGACGATAAGTACTCTGACTTGTTAAAAGCAGTTGCAGATTTGAGTTTCTTTGCCTCAGAAAAGTATATGAATGCGTTGAAAACATTCTTTGCGGTCGACAAGAAATTCAAAACCGTTGTAGATAGCGCTATAGACAAAATTGGTCAAGAAGATTTGAAAGTCATATCCTTTTTCAAACAAAGAATGTCTGTTATGGAGCGGTTACTAAAACTGAATGAATTAGAAAAGGAAAGAGAAGTAGCACTGGAAATTTTGCTTTTGGAACTGACTGAAATCTTAGAGCATGCATCACTTCTTACTGACAACAAGTTATTTATTTTCAGTTACTCACCTGTTTTAGTGGGGAAGTCATTTCGCAACTATCTTGCTCATGGTAATTATCTTGCCGATATTTTGTCTTGCAGTCCATCAATTTCAAAACAGACACATGCCCGACAAATGATTCAAAACGGAGAAGAATTATTATTGAGAAAAGATCGCGCAATAGGCCAACAAATAACGATCGATTTGCTTGAACTTAAAGAACGTTACGATCAACAATTAAAGGTCATTGCTACCCAAGAGAAAATGTTTCGTGCAGCCAGCAAAGGAGATCTAAGTGAAGTTAAGAAATGTATTGAAGACGGAGGTGACACGAAAGCTAAAGATTTGAATGGCAAAACTGGTATTGAGTTGGCTACAATTGCTGACAGCGTAGAAACTTTCAAATTCTTTATTGACGAAAATTTAACTTTGGATATTAAGAAAATTCTATCTATTGCCGCATCTAATGGTAGTATCAACATCATTAAATATCTTTGCAAAGATTACCTACTTAATGTCAACAGTACACATTTTAAGAGAGAATATCTCGTGCATCTCCTGGCTTCGAAGGGTCACAAAAATGTTCTGGAGTTTTTTATTTGTCACGGAGCAAATGTGTGCATACTTGACGAGGATAATATGTCACCGTTATATTTAGCAGCTAGAAATGGCCATATAGAAATCGTGCAAATATTGTTAGAGAAAGAAAAGGACGTTAATGGGGGAATTAGACGAGAATACCTAATTATATATGCCATTATGGAAGGTCACAGCGAGATAGTGAAGCTATTGTTAGCGAACGGTGCTGATGTCAATAAAAGAATCCAATTGGTTCGCAATTGGACACCGTTGCATTTTGCCTCCTTTTTCGGCCATGATAACGTTGTAAGAGAGTTATTGGAGAGAGGAGCTCAAGTCAACGCTGTTGATGACGACAAAAACACGCCTTTGTATTGGGCATTAGTGGAAGGGCACAACGAGGTCGCTTTATTGTTACTGAACGGCGGGGCCACATTCCAATTCAACGACGACTCAGATGAAACTTTCTTACATATCGCAGCACAAAACGGACTCGACGATGTTGTTGTCGCATTAATAAAGAAAGGAATGAATGTAAATTGCAAGAACACTACGAATTGGACACCACTACATTTCGCTGTCAAAGGAGGACATGGGACCGTTGTTGAAACATTACTATCCCACGGAGCAGATATTGAAGAAAAAATCTCAGAAACAGACTGGTCTGTCCTGCATTTGGCAGTTGAGGGCGGGCACGACTCCATTGTTAATACATTGTTGCGACGTAACGCCAACGTGCATTCTCTTACTGCAGATAGCTGGACCCCCCTACACGTGGCGGCTGTAAACGGTAGAGAAGCGATCGCCAGAGATTTGATTCTTCGGGATGCGGAGGTGGATGCAAGAAATAATCAACAAAGAACACCGTTGCATTGCGCGTGCAGACTAGGCCACATCAACGTAGTCCAGTTGTTGCTGGACGCAGGAGCGGACGTGAATGCTTTGGCTGAAGAAAGCGTCTCACCTCTTCACGTCGCCGTTAGTCAAAGGCGGGGTGACGTGGTGTTGGAACTGATTGAAAGGGGAGCCAAGATTGACGCTGAAATGTCAGGCGGTGTCACACCCCTACTCCTCGCTTCTAGCCTCGGCCTAGATGAATCCGTGAAGACTTTATTATCTTTCGGAGCCGAGGTCCACTACAGAGACAGTTCTCCAAGAACTTCATTGCACATAGCCGCCTTACAAGGTCACAAAAAGGTAGCAGAAATGTTGCTAAAAGCCGGAGCTGAGTTGAACGCTTTGGATGTCGAGAATGAGACACCACTTCACGAAGCTGTCAGACACGGCTACAAGGACGTAGTCGAGCTGTTGCTTTCGAAACCAGGAATTGAAGTGAATGCGGCTTCTCGATCAAATAAGACGGCGTTACTTTTAGCCGCAATGAAAGGATACAACGAAATCGCTTCGTTATTGCTACAGAAAAACAAGTACGTTCACGGGCGGCATGAATCACAGCTGGACGAAAACCGCGTTGACGTCAACATCACAGGGGAGGACGGCTTGTCTCCTCTTCATCTAGCAACGTTCTTGGGTTTCGAGCAACTCGCATGCGACTTGATCAAGAGCGGGGCGGACGTCAACGCGAAGGGGCCCGAGAACGCCACACCTTTGCTCCTCGCCGCACGCGCCGGTCGCGTGCAACTCGCACGCGAGCTGCTGTCGCACGGAGCGGACGCATCGGCGAGAACGCAGGAAAACTTCACGGCGGCGGAAATCGCCGCCATCAAGGGTCACGAGGACGTGGTCGCGTTGCTTCTAGAGCATCAAACGGACGCGAGCGCCAGGCAATCGGAGGCGGAAATGTTGATGCGACTGGCCGTCAGATTCGGTCAGGCGGCTGTCGTGCGGAGGTTGTTGGCCATGGGCGTGGACGTTAACACAGCGGGCGCGGATATGAACACAGCTCTACACCTCGCTGCCCTACACAGTCGCACCACCGTTGCCTCCGCGCTGTTAGAAAACGGCGCCAATGTCGACGCGAAGGACCAAAACAACTGGAGTCCTTTGCATCTGGCGGCCAACGACGGCAACCAGGAGATAGCAGAACTTCTCCTTCAATACGGAGCAGACCCTAACGTCAAGAACCGACGACCTTCTACCGGCAGAAATATGGTGGAAGGTCCGTACGGAGCTTCCGCGTTGCACTTTGCGGCGTACAAGGGCCACGGGCCGGTCCTTGAGGTACTCCTGCAGTACGGAGCGAACGTGAATCTCAAGGACGAGACCAACAGTACCGCTCTGCACCTTGCGGCGAGCAACGGTCACAACCCTGCAGTGAAACTGTTGCTCGCATGCAATGCTGACATTTCCGCTAAAGAGGACAGCGGCTTGACGGCGCTGCATCTGTCAGCTTTATACGGACACGCGGACGTTGCAGAGACTCTGTTGGCCAAAGGCGCCGACACTAACAACAGAAGCTTCGAATTCCGCACACCTGTGCATCTGGCCGCGTACAGCGGCAGCACCGTCATCCTGGACCATCTGTTCCGGAATCAAAATCCTGACGTGAACCCCAAGGACAAGGAGTGCTGGACGCCGTTGCATTTCACGGCGTTCCACGGGCACAGTGAAGCCGTGGCGTGGTTGATCAAACGCGGGGCGGAGGTGAACGCCAAAGAGAGCGACAGCGCGACTCCTCTGTTTTTGGCGGTGATCAACGGACATGAACACGTCGCGGAGACGTTGCTAGAAAACGGCGCTGACGCTAACGCAGCAGACAGCCGCGGGTATACGCCTTTGCTTGTGGCGTCGGAAAAGGCGCTCGTAGACACAGTGCAGACCTTGATTGATCGCGGAGCCAATGTTAGGGTAGTCGACCGATTAGGCAGAACGCCTTTAGATATTGCAATGGGAAAGTCCGACAGTGATCAACGGTACGGGTTGATTGCTGCCATTCTTACGAGTCTAAGTGAATGAAAAGTCTCATATGAAGAATAATTGTTATTTAATCATGTGTTCTGTAAGTCTTACTTTAGTACGGGCTTGGGAAAAAACGCCGTAGGTGGTGTCGAATGTTGAGTGAGATGCACGTCTCTAAAAGGCTTGTCGGTGTAATTTCTCAGAGAGGTAGCTATAGGTTGTTTTGGATGTTTTATTATAAATGTTTTTTCCATTGATCCAACTCTCATTCGATCTACAGTAAAATATTTTTGCAGGGCACTTTATTGTATAAAACATATAAAAGTGTAATTTCATTATTCAAAATATTAATGCACTACATTCCAGTAGTCTAAGGAGTTTCTCTCACCTTTATCACTCTAGTAACATCTCTGAGCTGATGCGCCTATTATATCATTCTGTGCAACATGACTATCAATTATTGTTCACTGTTCATTATTGCGGCAACATTTTCTGTCACCTCCAATTCAGTCATTGACCTTATTTTGCTCTCAGTGTCTCTAATTTTTTAAAGAATATACAGATAGAAACGGCAAATTTTTTAATGAAGCATGAAATTGAAAAAATTGCCAATAAATAGCACGTAGGGTAGTCATATTTTACGTTGGCCATGCATATATGTAATTTAAAATAACACTCGTGACGTATACCTCACGCAAGTATGCATCACATGCAAACAATACTTGATATATGATTTAGAAATACTGAATAGTTCGATTCGTATTTGTAATTTAAACGTGACCGGTCTCCATGTATTACATTACGTGTTTGAATACTTTACTTTCCAATTTTTACTAACTTATCTTTAACTTTAATTATCATGTACAGCATTTCCCATATTTCTGGCTTGGCTTCAATGCAATGGGTAAATAGAATGTATTTTGCAAAATTCAAAATAACGCAGCGAGCAGATTAACGTATATTATACATTAACGAAGATTAACGATATACTTCTCTTCAATAAGAAGATGAATTCACAACCACGAATATCTAAACATCCGTGTTGTTATCTCCGATGTCGGGTAATGAGCTCAGTGAAAAAAGTGAGAAAAAATAGTCATAATATGAGATAAGTGTCCTTCACATTTTTGCCTGCTATGTCAAAATATAGCAAAAGATAGTGAAATTTATCAAAAAGAATAACACTTCTATGAATCGTTTTTAATATATTATTGTAATCAAACTAAGGCATTACAGGAATTTCATGGCAATAATTTTGCTTATGTTGAAATTGACAAGTAAATTAATGAAAAAAATAAACATATAGAAATTGAATATTGTCATTATAAAGCTATAATCTTTGCTATTTTTAATGAAAAGGACGTTGGATAATGCAGAAATAATGTGATACACAGTGTCTTGTGTTTTATATTTTGTTTTGTCTGCACAAACCATTCAATAGCTGGTTATTCAGCATCCGCCAAAATGTTTCGTTTAAACACAATTATTGGTTTTGTTATGTACGTCGGTAAACACGCACTTGGCTCCTTAGCAATCGGAAATCTAAACAACGCTTTAAAAGCGCGTTCATAGCAACGCCCATGACAATATTCGAGAGTCAATTTAAAACATTTTTGCGGTCTTGAGTTTAGACTTCACCAGTGCGCATAAGTCTTTAAATAAATATGTCTCATTTATCCTACTTGCCCCGTTCTTCCATTTTGTTCATTTTGTCTCCGTGACTCAGTAGTACAATTTCCCAATTTCCTTTTGTCACATTTATGCCATTTAACCCCTGCCCCATTGGTCTCTTTATCCGCTTGTCCCCGAGTCCCCTTTTCCCATGTGTCGCCCTTGTCCCATTGTCCCCCTTGTCCCGTTGGCCCTCTTGTCCCATTGGCTCACTTGTCCCATTGGCTCACTTGTCCCATTGGCTCACTTGTCCCATTGGCTCACTTGTCCTATTGGCCCACTTGTCCTATTGGCCCACTTGTCCTATTGGCCCACTTGTCTGTGTTGTCAAATTTATCCTTTCTTCCCCTTTAGCACTTCTGTCCCTATACGATTTTGTACTCGTGCCCTCTTCTTCCTTCTTTCCCCGCTTAACCCATGTCCCTTTTTTATGTTTGGTCTTCCCGCGCACTGCGATTTTATTTGAAAACCGTACCAAGGTCCAGTACCAACAACCCTTGCTACAAAACATCGAGAGTAATGACATCTCTTAACTAATGAATGTATTAAATGTTTATTTTTAATAACTAGATATAACAAAACACTGTAACACGTCCTTAAAAACTAATTTAGAGGAATTACTACATAATGAACTAATTTTGCTGTGTGTAATTTAACATTGCCATGTGTAATTTTAGGTCTAATGATTTAGCATTATTATTTATTAGCATAATTTAACTTACTTGACTTAATTTTCAATATCGCTAAAGTGAATTTCCATTTTGTATAGAATGAAATAAACAATTAAATAGGAATTATAATTAACTTTTGTTTTATTTAATGAAATTAACCCTTCATCAATAATCAAGGAAATACAAAGCAATTCATTTAAAATCTGAAAGTGTGTACTTAATACAGAATAATGTTAGATCGTGAGAATTTCAACCCACATATGCATTTGGTGTTTGAATAGTTGAGAAAAAATATTGACCTTTTTTGGGAAGGGTTGAAAGCGAAGTAGTCGGAACAGGCATTTCTGAGAAATTAAGTAGACCAAAGGAAAATACTAATTTTTGTCAAACGAGATTTGCATGATTGTATAAAACGTGCGATTACACAGAATATATTTTTTTCAAACAAGGTATGTCTAACACTCATTGGGTACCGAATATCCTGGTGTACAGTCACGGAATGAGTTTCAGGCCACTTGTCGGTGCATGACATCGATATTAAGTTGTTCCGGTAAATCGAGGGGTACATTTCACATTCGACTCTCCAACTTTGTGTCTGGATTTCGGGGTCTCGGAACATATATGCTCGTGTCCCGCAATTTTTAGAACTTTTGGATGATGATTCAGTCGACTAAGCTGTGGAGAAAGTATAATCTAGAAAAAAATATTACATGGTACGAGCTCTGAAAAAAAAGAAACCTTGGGTCCCATGCAAATTACGTTGGTACCGCGAATTGCAGCTTTTAAAAAAATGAAAAGGTAAATTGCGTTCTCTCCACAATCATATCAGATCCTGGAAGTGTTTTCCCCCTTACGTGTTTCCTAGTTATCTGGTTTCTACAAACATGAATGCAAGAGGTAGTAAGAGACTATGATTCGTCACAGTGCGGAGATACAATGGCATTTTGGGGGTATTTTGAATACCCCCTCCCCGCACAGTAACGCACCCGTATCGCTCGTTTTAACTCCCCAGACTTATTCTTGAGACCCCCTCTTTGCAAGAAAAAAATTATATTAAAAAACAATTTGTATTAATTTTATGTGTTCTTTTTCAAATGTATGTTAATTAAAGTCAGAATTAATTTGCGATGCTAACTACATGTAACAATAACATTGGGAACAAGTACTTTGTGCAGGAAGCACGCACAGCCGTGATCATTTGATACAAGTCATGCACGTGTGGATGACGCATGTGTGACAATGTACTGCACCAATTTCATTGGATTCTAAAATACACGACGGGTCAGTTTTGAATCTTTCCTTCGTAATATTACGGATTCTATAAAAAAATCTGAAATAATACTTCCATTTCTTGCAACAAATTACACAATAGCTGTAATTATTAATGTTTCTAAAAAGTAATTTATATTTTAAGTTTTGTTATCAGAAAAAAAATATTTTTCTCACCGGATATAATATTAATAATAAATCAATGTTACGTAACACTAAACTAACATCCCTACCCCCACGTCTAGCAGCGTAACGCCCCCTCTTGAGCTTTACGTTATTTATGGAAGGCCCCTTAGGTGCACCGACAATCTCCCTGGTGGACAGATTCGAAATGCTCTCTGTGGCTTCCGCCTGCCCTCTCATCCATTATAAAGTAGGGAGCGGAATTTAATGACCTAAAACTGCCAAAACTAATCAATAAAATGCTCTTAAAATGTTTGTAAAATACCCTAAAAGCAAAGAAAACTGACGCCAAAATTTGATCAAAATCACTTCAGATGAATGAGTGATCAAACTATAGGCTATGTCACTGAGGTAATGGAGGCTTCTTCCTTTTGTTCAAGGGAACTCAACTTGCTAACTTTTGGTTCTGCTCTTTGAGGGGAAATCTCTGGTTGTATTTATCACGAAATCGGCCGAACTGACAATGGCGCCGTTAGGCGTCACAGGAACCTTCGATTACGTAGTAGTCACCAGAGCTGAACATAGCAAAAACCGAAGGCCTACTCAGGAACATGTGGTGAACGTATGTTGTTTCTCGTATATATTGTTTGACGCAAGTGCCATTAAAATTATATTAAAATCGGCGAAATCAGCGAAAATCAACTAAAAACGACGTAAAAGGGCACAAAATGACCTATTAGCCAAAATCGACGATTGTTCTAAAGTGAAAAGAAAAAATGACACTTCATTAAAATTGGCTCCCTAATTATAAAAAATGTTAGTTGTATGAATTAAATATCTCATACGATTGTCATTTTTTCCGTCACCTTGCTGAACGCAATTTCACACGTAGATATGTTCCGCAGACATCAAGAAATCCAAAATGTGGCAATGTTACTGAGGAATTGAGTCGTGTTAAAATTCATGAAAAAAATTGAATTCATGATTATTATTTTGCTAAATTAAGAAACGTGATATTATTGAATCAAAATCTGGTTTAGGAATTATTGAAATAAAATTTGGTCAATGTATTATTATTGAAGGAAAATATGGTTTTGGAAATATGTTTGAAATAAAATCTGGTTTAGAAATAATGGAATAAAAACCGGTTGAGAAACTATTGAATATGGTCTAGGAATTAAAATATTATAAACGTGGTTAATATTATAATCGTTGGCATTAATAATATTATTGTTCATATGGCAGTAGCTACTCGTGAATTAGCGACACAAAAATTAGAAAATTATGTATATAATTCTGAAAATAATGATGGTAGCAATGCAATACTTAAATCTCAAGAATATTATTAATTACTTCAAAAGACTTTAATGATTCTTATGACTTCAATATTGTAATGAACTTCAATATATGTATCATCATTGTAATGAACTTCAATATATGTATCATCAAATACATGAAATTTAAATTCTTTATTATTTATCAATAATGCACACTAATATTATCACTAAAATAAATGCATTATTTCCTAAATATCGTAAATTTACTGCATCATAATCTTGAATAGGATCTATTTTTACGATGTACACTATCTTTTTGTTGTTTAACATTTACAGCAACATTGGCATGTATTCCAGCACACATATACGTAATATTTTACCATGAAAGTTATAGTCTTCATCTTTAGATTATCAACTAACATCCTACTATATATATCTTGTGGCATTCATTACATTGAAAGTATGAAACCTTTATAATTTGAATCTTTAGGTTGGATATATTTTTACCTCCTTTTTAAAAAAATAATTGGTTGTTTTACTTCTTTTCTCACATCACCTACTGATTGTACATGACATAATGTGACCATTGTACCATCACCTATTGATTGGATTAAATATTTTAACTCAATATTTTTCTTGATGATATTAATTTTACAATCGAAAAATTTCTCAAGAAACGGATGATTGTGAAAGAAAAAATCATTCATTTTCTAACTAATTCACCTAATAAAACAAGATAAGATTGTGTATTAAAATGTGATATATTATTTAACTGTTTCATCGTTACAACGTCGTTATCTATTCCAACACCTACTTTACGAAATAATTTATTGTGAAAATTATGACTTCCTGATGTACCAAAAACAGATAAGATGTTACGAGAGTTCCAGTTTCTTCAATATGTTTTCTCAATTTATTTCTTAGCTGTTCTACATTAGCATTATTTAGACCAAATATATCCTGGACTATTCATGGATATAATTTTTAATACAAATATACACAAATGACCGCAAATAAATTCATTAAACTTTCGGATTTTTTAGCATTATAATATAATTTATGAGATTCAAGATAATTGACTAATTGAAATGAGGGATCTCCAACAAATGATCCAAAAATATATTTATATATGTTATTTTGACAGTAACATATCCAATGATTCCATTATTTTTAGATGAATCCATACTCACAACACCGTATTCGATTTTCTGATCGATGTGTGGAAAGATATTACATAAGTAATACCCGACATAATTAACACCATCTATTATATGATAATTAATATCACCATATATTATATCATAATTACTGAGTGGCTATGGGTATTAATTTATTAATTTGATAATATAGAAATGGAATTCATTTTTTGACGCCCTTCTACTCTTATCAATTTCAAAATTATGAAGATTCATTTCTTGTAATTCAGCTTTATTTTTATGGGATTGAACACAATAAATAGCATTATCACCACTAATGGTCCTAATACTGCTAATAGTGTTCCAATAAATCCCCTATGTTTTCTAGATTGTAATGAAATGATGTGTTTTTAATGAAATAATAGATAAATTTAATTAACTAACTAGATCTGTTTTTATTTTTATTTTCTATTTGTTTAGATAATAAAATATCTACATTAATATTTCTAACATAATCTGGCGATAATATATGTTATAGATATCACACTTGACATTTATTAGTATTTAAAAAGTATATATTTTATATTCCCCAAACTAAACAGGATATATTCCGATACATAATTTTCTTTTAGCAAACATGGTTGCAGTGACAGCAGGAGGAAACATTCTTTTAAATCAGCATCTTTACTAAAATGCGTTTTTAGCTTCCTGTTGTAATATGTAATCAGTTTGATGTCCAAATTCTAAATATTTTATGATATCTGTATGCAATATCATGGTATTTACAAGCTTCATCATGTTGATTAATTCCTTTATCATCACGTTCTAATTGAGTTTTAAGATCTGTACCTGGACCACAATAATTATATCCAGGAAAATGTAATTCTAATGGTAAATGATTAATAGCCCAATTTATAACAACAGCCACGTGATTTTCTAAACGTATGTGATATAATATATAAAAATCGAATCAGATACAGAATTCCTTTTTAATTTTGAGTAATAAAATCTTGAAGTTTGCCTTTTCACATCTTTATAATACTTACTTTTTCGTTATAATAATTATAATTTTTCTATTCACCCTGCATCACTAATAATTTATCTATCAGATCCTGCACATCATTCATCCAAACATAATCTACAGGTTTTTCCTTATATTTTTTAAATAACACCCATTCCAGTAACTGATTTTTTGTTTTTTGTTCAAACCATAATCCTTTAAATATTGTATTCCATTTTCTCCAACATTTGATTTAACTTCATTAGTACCTGAATCATGATACAAAAAAAGAAAAATCATCTGCATATACATTATTAGATAGTGATTTATTTGTTAATATAGCTAGTCATCCATCAAGACCATATTTTTGTCCTTGTATGAAAAATCATTGTTATTAATTTCAACTTTTGTATAACCAATATAATTGTATTTACCCAAAGGTCTGAAACCAAATGCCGTATCATTACCATTATGGAGATATTTAATTAATTTAGGTTCTTAATGTGTTATTTTTTCTTTTCTTTGTCTTCTATTGATTTCAATCGGTTTTCTAATTATAATTTGTTTTTGGAGCATCTGGTGAATCATATAATTTCTTTTCAAACGACGATTCTGATGTTGCTGTACTACAAACAAATTATCATAATCATTTGATTATTAAATTATCATAATCTACTTTATCTACGACAGGTTGATTTTTTATATTTTTCATACTGATTACGATCGTATCCACTGCAAAATATGTTTTATTTTTTCTTCTGTTATCTTATTTTTTGCTTATACTTTGCAAACATTTCTAAACTAAACAATAATATAATAAGAATTTTATATTGCGTCTGTTTTTAAATATATTGTGTTTAGGTTTAATCAGAGAGAGAGGATTTTGAAATGCGTATGTATGTTAAAAACGATTGTATTTTATTTCTACATTTACTATCATTTTATTTTCGTGTCATATCAGTTGTGATAAAACCAAATAATTCATACCAACGTAATTGACATACATTTTTGAAGTATATTACCACCTACAAATTTATGATTTTTATGATTAAGATTATAATGTCTAAATCAAAATAAAGTTTAAATTATCTCTAAGGTTAAAATCTCAGTAGGTTAAAAATGTTTGAATATGTTTGTGCTAAATATCTACAATCAATTCTTTTATGTCTACCACGTAAAATATTCTCTTACAATATCTCGAATCTAATATAAAATTTGAATTTTCTTTACAATCAAGTGGTATTAAATCATCTTGACTTGTAAATCAAGTAACGTCATGTTCAAGCTAACTACATTTATTCATTAATGCTTGATATTTATCTTTTTAAAAAAGATTTTCAATATATGTACACATTAATTTTATACCGTTTTAAGCCTCCAGGCCTCATAATATAATAATGAATCAATATACATGTTTTTCTACATCCACTTCATCCTATAATAGCCCTTTATATAGATTTCGTAATCGTACTTTTGGAGCGCAAACTATTTTTTATTCATTTAAATGTGTAAATTATTAAAGCTAAGAGGACCATCTTCAGTATTTCAGAAAAAAACGTTTTTTAAAATTTATGATTATTCTACATTTGTATGTGTTGGATTCTATTCTACATTTATAAGACCTAATGTAAAGTCAAATACCAAAAAAATATATTATAAACACAAAAAGGAAATACACATTCTCACAATTCCATCAGGATAATATAATATTGGAAATTTAGAATTATAAACAATCACATGCACCAGTTAATTCACCAAATATTACTATTTTGCCTAATCGCATTCTAGAAAAAGAATTGCAATTAAAAGTGCATTTTAATTAAATTTTAATGCTGTAGATTCTATTGGATCGTTATTAGGTTTTCAAAATCAAACTATTAAAAAAAATAAACTACTGTTGGTAACAATATTCCTACATTCATTCCATTTGAAACTATTGATGAACATTTTTATTGTGCTGAAGGGATAATTCTGAAAGAAAATGAGGAAATTCATTGAGAAACAAATATTTTCACGTCGTTCAATTCAATTATCAAATTCCTATTATTTATAAACCATCTTATCCATTATTTGTACCAGTTTGTCATGAAATACGGCATGTTCGAATTACAGATGAACATAAAACTAAATGGTGCTATGGTCTCACTTATTTTAGAATTAAAAAATAATATATTTGTATTCTCTTCTAAATGGAAAAAACTGGGAGTTATCAATGGCAAACGTTCCTGCTACTGATGGTGGTAAGAATAATATTGGACAACCTAATAAAATATCAGATATTTATATAAATGTAGAAGTTGGATGCATTTCGAAAGAGCGAAATTATATATCAATTATCAAATTATTCATATCCATTAATCTAATTATTAAGCATATGACGGTGTATCAAAATTAAACAAATTCTGTATCTTATTTACTTCAATCTTTTAGGTTGAAAAGGTCAAAATATATTTACATCAGATTATCCTGGAATTACCACAAGTAACTACAGAAAAGTACTTATTCAACAATTGAATTAATTCCAGTAGATGTCGCTGCTATTATATCTTTTTATCCATTAAAAAGTAAATATGATGAGGTTTTGTGTCCATTGAGATTGTGAGGGAAATTTTAATACAATTTTAAGGAAATTACTTGGGGAGAAGATTTTAAAATTTAATTTACTTGGTCTCCTACTATGAATGATGTTTTATACCGATGGAAATCAAAAACATAAGATGGCACATTAGATATATCAACATTACCAGGAGGTGGAAAAACAGGCATTCAAAATTTCGAAATTAATATACTAATTGTATATTATGAGGCTTCCCACGCTATGGAAGTTAAAGCTAATCTAATAAAATTTCTATCATTTCAAATTCATTTTATGATACACAAATATTTGAATTATTTGGAATTATTGCACAACAATTTAAAATTGATAGAACCAATCATTATCAGTCTTTACAATATGATATGCCATATTTTGATTTTGTAGTATTCCAAATAGACTTGATAATCATAAAAAAGGTTCAAGTGAAATTGATCAATATAATGTACAGAATATTTAACTTTAAATGGTCGAAATAAACTATTTTCACAAAATCTTGGAATATAACACCACCCAAAAAGTAAAAAGTAAAAAAACATTTAAAAAATTCAAGAAAATTACGAATAATCAAAATTTATAAATGTCAAAATATTTCTATTTATTACTAGATGGCCCAATTATTTCATACATACGATCGACGTTATAATGTATGGTAAAAAACTACATATAAGTTCCAACATAGTATAATTCAAGAACATTTTTAATGTAAATGGAGAATTATGGATGTTGGTACTAATGAATTATTGGTTTTATGAAATGGATGACTATAATATTTCGAGGAATCATTCGATCATCGAGGAATGGTTCAAGTAACAAAATTATAAAATAAGTTACCTATAATGATGTCAAAGACACTATAGAAGATATATAAATTGTATCATTATTATATATACGTGTTCTCTTATCTCTAATTCCTCATCCCTTGCCTAATAATCTCACGCGTACTCTTACGTAATATGCAGAGGTGTTCTCTTATCTCTTATGAAATATTTAAACCTGCACTCCTATCTCTTACGTTTAATTAAAGTGTGGTCAAAATATCTCACCCCTCAAACCACGTAATATATAAAACTAATTATAATACTTAAAAATTGAGAAAACGTGGTCTAGCTTTGAAATTTTTAATATATGATATTTTGTTTAAAAAAATAATATATTGAAATGGTACGTGAAATGATGTATGAAATGGTAAAAATGAAGCATTTTCAAATATATAGCATTTTTAGGTATTAGCAATTTTTATTATTGGTCTAGAATATTTTGGAATAAGATCAAAAATTCTAGATCAGCATTTTTTCAAAATTCCCACACCTCAGAAACACGTAACAAGTGGGGTAATATTGTAAAAAAAGTGGATAAAATATGAATACATTTGAATATTTTAATACGATTTTCATAAAAAATTTGGGAAAATTAAAAATCTATTAATTGTGGGTCTGATAAATCTGGTCCAGTACGTCCCGTTTCTATACTACTGAAAATCTACTAGAAACGGGAGGAGACGTCCCCTAATGTCCCAATAATGCAAGGTGCGAAAAAAGCCACACCTCCAAGTGGTGTCATACGCTTTCTCTATGTCGAAAAAATTTGCTACCAGGTGTAGCACGACAGTAAAGATCTGAGTAGATAGGGATACTAAGTGGTGCATAGCTGACCTGTACTACCTGAAACTTCACTGAAAAGGTGTAAATAGATTCCTTTGCTCCAGGAGCTAGACTGTACGATTGTTTACTATTCGTTCAAAAAGCTTGCACAGCTTGTCAGCGAGATTGGGCGGTAATTTAAGGGATTGTTCTGTCCTTTGCTTCTTTTGCGATTCGAATGACAATGGCCAAGTTCTTGGTAGCGAATGTTTATCCCAAATCAAATTGAAAATGCGGAGGAGGTAAGAACGATCATTTTCCGGTAGGTGATTAAGCATTTGATTATGTATTTGGTCAGGTCGTGGAGCAGAATTTTTTGCACAAGCGAAAGCAGAATTAATTCGAGTAAGAGAGGAAAATTCATCCTTGGAGAGAGGAGCATTAGTCTTCCTCCAATCAACTTGTAAAATATAGTCTGCTGTTCTCCATTCTTCTTTTGGTTTTCAGAAAGCTCGGACAGTACTGTACGCAGCGGGAGATATGATCGTAGTGAAAGTCAGCTTTTCAACTATCTTCTGGTGAAGTGATAAGATTTCGATTTACCCAAAGCCCTGAAACAGGCAACGGAGGAAGTCTTCCACCAATCTGTTGAACTTATCGCTACACTACTTTAGGGGGCGGACGGAAGGAAGTAAAGAAATATAAGCTTTCCAAGACGCGGCCTTACTTTTCCGTAAAATAAATCTAGCTTTGGCGAGTGATCTCTTATAATTAATAAGATTGTTATTCCATGGTTGGTATCCTATTAAGCATTGCGAAAGCCCGTTTCCGATCCCGCACCGTGGTAGCACATTCGGCATTCCTACATGGCACGGGAGGGCGTCGTGGGTGATTTGGGGATGGCAATTGAAATATGAATGGATGGATAATGTTCACGATCTTATAGATAATTAGTCGTTCATGGAGATGACAAAGCGGGTAATGATAGTTTATATAAGGAGAAAATAAGTATTATAAAAATGTTGACAGGCAAAGTTCAATATTTTATAACTCATAATCCTAAAGGAATTCCATATCTTATTCGATTTTTACATAGTATACCACATACATTTTCGAAATCTGAAAAATATGGAGCTGGTATAATTAATTGGGCTATTAATAAATTACCATTTGAATTACATTTACCAGGTTATAATTATTGTGGTTATGGTACTGATTTAAATTCAAGATTAGAAAGAGGTGATAAAAGTATTCGATGAAGCTTGTAAATATCATTATATTGCTCTTAGAGATCATACAGATTTAGGATATAGACATCACGCTGATAAAATATTACTAGAAGAAGCAAAAAGAGAATATTAAGTAAAGATAGAATTGTAAAAGAACGTATATTTGCATGTGCGGTAGAGGGTAGTGTTTGCTAGAAGAAAATAAGGTAAGGGAATAGTCTGATTGGGGAATTTAATAGTTCGTTTCTTTTATTGTAATAAATATCGAAAGTAATATCAATTACTTTTACGCTATCTTCTATTGATAAAAAAATTTTAATTTAGATGATATTTTAACATCAAAACAAATAAAAGATAATCATGAGAGTATTAAAACAGGAATTGGTATGTCTTTACATTTATCATGTCCGCAATTAAATAAATTAAAATCTAGAAAATATGGTGGATTTATACGAACAATGTTATCAGTATTGGCACCATTATTAATTACAGGTGCTAAAGCTATATATGATTGTATACAATGTACTAGAAAAAATTAAGCACAATTAGAAGAAATGAAAGGACGTGAAATGCTGATGGCATCTAGAGGTCCTGGCATTAAAAAAACAGAAGGTAAATTCTATTCACATATTAATTAACTTAAATCAATTTCCATACCTATGAAGTAATTATGATATAAAAAAAGAGTTCTATTATTTAAAATGCCTTATTTCGTGGTATATTTATCAATAATGAATGTCCTAAAAAATTAATTATTCTGAATGTGGCATTATAAATATGAATACATCACAAGATAAAGGTACTCATTGGAATTGTTTGTTATGAAAATAAGTATATAAAATATATTTTTGATTCATTTGGTGGGCATTTCCCAGCACCATTAGTATTTTATTTTAGTAACAATCAATTACTTTATAGTGCTGAGAGAATTCAAAATTTAAATGATATTGTTTGTGGACATTTAAGCATATTTGTTTTAACAATTCTTGACTTGAAAAAACATGAAGTTTGAGTTATCTCAACACTACCAAAGATAGGTGCATCCTGCAATTATTTTTTCATCATAAATTATTCCGTAAAGTTCTTCAAGAAATAGCTGATGATGATTTAGTCACAAAAATTATTGAAAAACTATTATCATAAAAACATTTTAGATTCTACTGAACAATATGATGCAGTAAATCTACGAATTTTTAAATCGAATATATATATATATATATATACAATATTATGATTCAGTTAATTTTTTTAAAATCAAAAACAAAGAAAATTATACTCAATTTCTTTACAATTGTGAAGTGTTGAGTTGTAAACTAAATATAGATTTAAAAATCATTGAAATCGTTATAAATTCGAAAGATTATAAAGATATCTGTTCAATTACGATTGAATAAAGATAAATTGTATATGAAAGCATCATCCCTTTATAAAGGAATTGGAGAATATAATATAAAGATTATAATAATTATTATTAATATCAACTGTGAAGATTATATTATTTTATAATGTATAAACGTATACGTTATGTTAGAAATGTAAAAAAATACTGATACGTTTCAAATTGAACAGGAAACGACAAGAAATTGAAGATTTAGAATAGCTGGTGTTTGTGCCGATTGTGGAAAGAAAAAAGGGAAATTTGTTACAAAAATTAATATTCGAGCAGTTATTATTGAAGAATTACATACACCAATGCGTACAAATTTTCTACGACATAAAGTGTTATCATTTGGTATTGATTATTTATGGCAAGCAAGTTTAGTTGAAATGAATTCTAGTCAATTAAATGGAATATCAAAAATACATAAAGGATTTAGTTATATTTTAACAAATACTGATGTATTTTCAAAGTATGCTTGGGCTATACCAGTAAAAGATAAATCTGAAAAAATGTAACATATGCAATGCAATCTGAATTTCAATATCATAGATATCCTAAATATTTACGAGCAGATAAAGGTAAATAATTTTATAATAAAAATTTTCAACACCTTATGAAACAATAAGAATAATCGTCATTATTCATTTTCTTCTGAATTAAAAGCATCAGTCGTTGAAAGATTAATTGGACATTAAATTAAAAAGATCATTATATGATCCTAAAACAACTAAACCAACAAGAAAAGGATACAGCGTGGTTAAACATTATACAAGAAGATTAATGGATTCAACATTACAAGGAATTATAGTGGAAGGGTGAGGAAGAAAGCTTTGAAGAAACAAACATAGAAGAGAATAATAAGGGAGTACAATTTATAAAACACTCAGTAGTAGATAATATATCGATTGAAGAAATAAAATATTCATTAAAAACATTAATAAATCGCAAGGCAACGGGCCCAGACGGATTAATGTGGAACTTCTAAAGTACGCTAGAATCTTTTTTGAATTGAGGCTATTGCAATTGATAAATAAATGCTGGCAAGAACGCAGAATTCCTCAAGCATGGAACGCAGTAGAAGTAATATCAACTTTTATGAAGGGGAACCGCAATGAATGCTAAAATTATAGAGGTAGAAGCCTATGCAACTCTGCTTATAAGGTATACTCAAAAATGTTAAATCAAAGACTAAAAGCTATAACAGAAGTACTAATTTAAGAAACGCAAAATGGCTTTCGGAAAGGAAGATCGTGTGATGATAACATTTTTCGTTGGAATCGTTAATTAAAAGAAGGGAATTAAATTTAGAAACCCACATGGCTTTCGTTGATTTCGAAAAAGTCTGACATAGTGAATAGAGAGATGTTCTGGAATATTATGACTCAAAGAGGATATCTACTACACCTTGTTAATACCATTCGAAGCATTTATAAAAATACGGTAATCACAATTAATACTATCGCCATTAAAACGTCAGAAATAGTCGCTACTCAGGGGGTAAAACAAGGCTGCATATACATATATATACATATATATATATATATATATATATATATATACATATATATACTAGCGGACCCGACAGATTTCGTCCTGTCAAAAAGATTTGTAATTTTTTTGTTCCTAAATGGCAAAAAATTCTCCTGAACAGAACCGTCACCCTGGTGATAGGGCGTTGTGAATAAGAAATTGTAATTAAATAAACCATATATAAGCATTTAAAAGTAAGTAATAGCTTTATTGTTAATCATGTGAATCATAATTATTAACAAAAATCAGTTTTATTTTCATTGTAGTGCTTTGTGATATACGATGTTTTTGTTTGATTACCTGACACATAGACAAACAGATCTGATGGTTTTTCAACACGGAACAGGCAACATACAATTGACCATTGGAGAAACATGGGTTTTCCAGATTAATACCACAAACACTTAATGATTGCCCTCTGAGACTTGTTTATGTGTCATAGCAAAAGAAAGCCGAACTGGAAACTGTAGTCGTTTAAAGTCAAACGGCACGTCAGTCAGATCATTGGGATGCGCGGTTATGAGGCGTCTCTCCTTTATACTTTCCTTTCAGTATAGTTGCTTTATCACGTTGTTTGTATAATTTTTATCGTTAACCGTGTGCCGTTGCAAAGACGTGGTTGGTTGATATTTCGCAACATTATAAACTACCGAACATTGTCAGTTCATCAGCTGGTTTCTCGTGGAATCTCTGGCAATGTTTGACGAAAAGCTCCTGCTAATAAAACCATTGCCACTACCAATATGTGTTATGATTGCTCCGTAGATCTTTTAAGGTTCTGTCTAAGACCTCAAAGATTTTTTTATGTGCCATCGTGCATTCATCCCAAATAATTAATTTACATTGCTGCAAGACCTTGCCATTGCAGAGTTCTTCGAATGTTGCATTGTCGGAGTTTATTGCTTTGCATATTTAATGGCAATTTTAATGCTGAATGGGCGTTGTTCGACCACCTTCAAGCAAAGTTGCTGCGATTCCCGACGAAGCGAGTGCAAGTGCAATTTTATTATGTGAGCGAATCGTTGCTAATATTAATGAAACCATAAAGGTTTTCCCTGTACCACAGGTGTATCTAAGAAGTAAATCCCTCCAGTTTCATCATTTGTTACTTCATAAGAGTATCAAATACATACTTCTGTGTTCATTCAACAGTGGAAGATTTGTTTGAATTAATTCTTTCAAAGTGTTGAGATCATACAGTTTTTCTCGATTCAACTTTTGGTTAAAAGGATCATGCATTGGGCGCGGCCAGGACTAATTGAATTAATAGATCGTTTGACATCATCAAGCATCTCCTCAATTGAAATCAATGCTACGTTGTAAATTTTGACTAAGTGATGATTACGATCGTAATGATTAAGAAATTGAAGATTAGTGACTCATCTTAATTTAGGTGACAGAACATAAACTAATTATGATTACTGCTATAATACATACCTTGAAAGTTGGCATAAAATTTTTCCCGAACTACATTTGTTGACCCAAATGAAGTCATTTGAAAGCAATTGTTATATTGTTGGATATTTGTCAAAAAGTGTATTGAATCTGTCCTATTCCTGAAACAAATGAAGTACAATGGCTCTGGTGGTGGTTCCAATGGTATCAATTTCACTTTACCATTTGCGCAAACACCAATCTTATGTAGCTTCGTTTTTATATTTCAATGCCTTACAATATTATGAGCAAACCGAGTCATAAAACCAATAACAACAC